ATGACAGTGTTCCAAAAAAAAGGGGTGGCAAAGAGAGAATAGAGGAATGAATTTTAATAGCTTCCAGGTCTTCCTACATATTAAAAAATGACCCAAGCAGCTACAATATTTTTAATGGTATGAACAAGGCAATCTTACCTAGACCTATGTGAGGAAGGTGTTCAAACAGCGTCCAGCTGTGGTCATCTATGTAATGATTCTTCAGTATTAACAAATGGCATACATCTCTGGCTGTTATATCACTTGGCACTTCCAAAGCTCTGCTAGTATCATCCTCACTGTATACTTTAATTACCTGTAAAATAAATGAGTATACACAGGAAAAGCTAAAGTGTCCATTCATTTAGAACTGCACAGCATTGGTTCAATCTGCAGAAAGCTTCCATGTCCCCCTTTAGAGGCTAGATCTCCACAATCTTATGAGACAAAGATGGTGCTGTAAATTCAAGGACCCTAAAAATGTAGTTGTACAGAAAAGTTAGTGAAACCAGGTCTGCATTTGTTGGAAGAAATTAGGCAAAGAGAGGTGAATTAATCTGAGATGTAAACAATTCTGTAGGGAACATAAAGGATAGATGCCACAAGACTCTTAAAAATTTTGAAAAGCATGAATCAGGCAATAAAGGATTGAGGCACAAAGAACAGAAGTAGAATTAAAAAACAAACCTGAATGAAAGTGCTACATGCAAAAGATTGCCATGGTCTATGAGAAACTAACAGGTAGTTCAAAATATTGTAAGAGAGAACATAACACAAGGGAACAGATTTAATTATTTTCTATCCTTACGCCTTCTAAGTTTCTTCCTATTTTATATATTTTACAGATTTGTGCATCCGTCTGTCTGTGACTCCATGTTTAAGAACTCCTTCACCAAATTTGGTATGCAGCTTTCTCTTACCCTAACTTAAAGGAAGGCCAGGGTTCCATTGTTCCAGAAAAAAACAGGAAGTGCTGGGAATGTGACTGTTTTCCATAACCTGGAAAGAGAGGGGCACAGAAAGGAGGGATGCGATACTGAGACTGACTGCTGGGGGCAGTGATCCTGCAGGAGAGAGCTATATTCAGAGTAAGGCAGCTGCACCACAAAAAAAGAGTGGCCAACAGGGCTGGGGCTCTGCCATTTTGCCAGCCACCAGACGGGAGAAGTATCATCCTGCAGGCCATGGGAGGGGATGCTGCAGGCCAGGAGCAGCCTCCCGAGGCTGGTCTCTCCATTTAGCCTGCAGGCCATGGTGAGAGAGGAGAGCTGCTGCAGTCCATGGCAGGGGAGAAGTGGAGCTGCAGGCCATGAGAGGGAGGAGATGCTGCAGGCTAGAGGTAGCCCCCAGAGCTTGGTTCCCCCCTCCAAACAGGCTACAGACCATGAAGGGGGCCCCTGCTGGAGGTGGCTTCTGGGGTCCTTCCCCTGCACCTCTCCCCACTGGCAGTCTTCAGACTACAGAGAGTTCCCAGAACCTGGATGCTTGGCAGAAGCCACTGCCACCAAAGCAAGTCTCCCCCCTGAGCAAGTCCTAAGCTCCCCACTCTCTGCCATGAGCCCCACACACACTGAACCCTGAGCCCTCCACTCCCTGTCGTCACCCCCACATGTCCATCCCCTATCCTGAGCTCCCCCATTCCTGCCTTAACTCCAGCACCTCCACCACACCAAGCCCTGTACCCTCAGCTCCCACGCCTTACTCTCATTCCAGCTCCCTCTACCCCATCCTCACTCCAGCTTCCCACCCCCTTTTTATTTTGGCAGAAGATACATAAACTGCAAATATTGTCTGCCAACAACGTCTACCCATTATTTGAATCACTTTCCTACTTTTATTAATACAAATTTATTTTTCCTTCATCTTTGAAAAATACAATAATTTAACTAAAGCATGTACACTTTCTTCACTCCCCCCACCCCAAACTCTAGTACTTCACTTAAAGACCTGAGCAATTCCAGGTACATCTGTTAGGATTCTTTATATAAAAATGTTATTTTCTGGTGATCTTCAGCAAGCAAGAGTTGCTGACTTGAACATTTCAGTAAAGATCCACTCTTCTCAAAAAAAAAAGGGGGGGGGGGAATGTTTGTAAGTGCAATATAACTTTTTGGAAAAGAAGTGAAGGTTTGAGTTGAAATTTCTCATGCTTGCATCCAGCCAAAAGATGAAGCTCAGATGCATACAGCAGTCAAGTTACATGTGATTTATTCAATTTCACTGAAAGATTAAGCTAGAGCCAATCAAATGGAAGTGATTAAACTTGCTATTGCCTTATTTTCTGAGTGCTGTGCACCTACTCCTCCAATTAAAGTCAACATGGAGTTTCTTGTGATCAGGAAACTTTTTAATTTCTCAACTTGTTTGCAATTATAATGGTAACTTAAAATGGAATTAATTCTGGACAGAAGTTTGCATTTGCCTTATTTTTTCCTTTTTTTAAAGAGAGATAACAAAAATAAACAATGAAAAAATATAGAAGACACCTGGCAACAGCATGGATTCTCAACTTCATTGTGGTTTTAGAATCTTAACATTATCACTGAAATAACATAACTATTTTGAGTTTAATTTTAAAATGATGGTCATATCAACATATGAGGTAAGTGCATGAGAAATATGCATATTAAAACAGTTTTCTACATCTTCTGAAGTCCAGTAAAATGGCATAAGTCTGAAATTGAGCCCTTTGTTTTTATCAAGTTGTGTTTTATTTGTTCTGGGCAAAGTATTTAAATAATTTGTAGATCATGTCATTAATATCTTGCACAAACACAGAGTTTCTTCCCTAGTGCATATATTTTCTAGTAGCCTGAAACAACACTAAACTAGATAAATTGATGTCTCACTTCCCTGGGAAGTCCATGACATAGTGAGAGCCCTCAGCATTTTCAAGTTGTTCGTGGTATTCATTTTTAAAAATTCTTTACTACGTTTTTCCCCACTGTATCTAGGTTCCCTTTTATCATAGTGTGCATAACTCATCTGGTCCTCTGAGATTTATACGGTCCTCTGAGATTTATACACCAAGTTATCATGGCTTAATACACTCTTATTCTGTCATTTAAATGAGCTACAGATATCTTACCTGCTTTTAAAACTTTCCTTCATGAAGCAATCCTGCATCCCTTAAATATTTGCTTCAACCTTCTCTGAATTTCATCTCAATCAGTGAAAAGCGTATTGTGAAGCACCTCATCTACACATCAGCAGTAGTGCACTGAAGGTCAACTCTTCTCCGGAACTCTGCTCCACCATCTGACCCTTAGCTACACAGCTGGCAGGATATCCCAGCCCTAATTCATGCAGCCAGTGCCTTAAAAAGGGACAACATAGCCTGGGCAAATGTTGCTATTGCCACAGCAGAGAGACAGCTAATCTAAATGGAGCCTGAATGCAAGGTCACTATGAGTCTGCATGGCAGGCACAAATTGTCATTTAATAATACAATGGAAAAGAGGTGCCTCAACATAAGGGAATGGCTCCTGAGGGGCAGCAGAGATTGTTTGTTAGCAATGGAGTTAGTTCCATAAAGCATCTTCAATTTGCATCATACTCTCATTAACTGTTTTTTTAAAAATGGCACCCAGCTGTTCTCTCCATGTAGACGTTGGAAGAGATCTACACATTGAAATGATGGCTGCCAAAATTGGACAAGAGATTGGAACAATCTAGCAAAGAAGACACACACACACACACACACACACACACACACACACAGAGAGAGACCCCCAAGCCAAAGAAAGCCAATCACCTCCTACTAGCGGGTAGGATACATGTTATCTTGAAAAATGTAGCAAAACTGTTCCATTGAGTTCTGTTACTTCAAATTATTTAAATTCGGCTGGGAGACAACTAACTGCTTGTGGCCTAAGAATTTCTCTCTGAACTTTAGTTACAGTTTGATGAAGCAAGTGTGACAGGGTAAGTCTCATCAAATTAGAGTGACCTTTTGTTTCCTTATAATTAGGGGAGGGAAAGTACCATCTGCATTGTCTGAGTATGTGCATTTGAGACAAGTCCAGGGCACACTCCTTAGGAATGTACTTGTTTCAAATGTCTCCAAGATTAGAGCCAGCTGAAAGAGGTCATGTGGAGATTCCTCCCTTCCTCAAAATAAAGAGCTATACAGTTCTTTCTTGCCAGATCCAGGGAGAAAAGAAATGCTCACTAGTAGTAAAATGAGGATAAAGTCATGACTAAGAATGTGACTACACTGACCTCCCCGATCTACAACCTACAAGAATGCCTACAAGGCATTCTCTATCCATTTCCTTTCTCTTGAAACCTACCAAGACTAGAAACAAAAAGATAAGGAAAATAAAGGCGGCTTCCACCTTCCTTTACTCATTTAAAGCACCTGGCAAGTAAATTTGGGCCTCAGACCCTGGTACTAATCTACTTAACTGGTTGGTCCCCAGCTTAACTGGTTGGAAGAATCCCAAGCATAGTTACAAGCTGGGGACCAACTCGTTAAGTAGTAGTCCTGTAGAAAAGGACTTGGGGGTTACAGTGGATGAGACGCTGGATAGGAGTCAACAGTGTGCCCTTATAGCCAAAAAGGCTAATGGCATATTGGGTTGCATTAAGAGAAGCATTGCCAGCAGATCCAGAGATGTCATTATTCCCCTTTATTCGGCTCTGGTGAGGTCACATCTGGAGTATTGTGTCCAGTTCTGGGTCCCCCACTACAAAAAGGATGTGGAAGCATTGGAGAGGGTCCAGCAGAGGGCAACCAAAATGATTAGGGGGCTGGAGCATATGACTTATGAGGAGAGGCTGAGGGAGTTGGGTCTGTTTAGTCTGCAGAAGCGAAGAGTGAAGGGGGATTTGATAGCAGCCTTCAACTTCCTGAAGGGAGGTTCCAAAGAGGATGGAGAGAGGCTGTGACAGATGGCAGAACAAGGAGCAATGGTCTCAAGTTGTGGTGGGAGACGTCCAGGTTGGATATTAGGAAAAACTATTTCACTAGGAGGGTAGTGAAGCACTGGAATGGGGTACCTAGGGAAGTAGTGGAGTCTCCATCCCTAGAGGTGTTTAAGTCTCGGCTTGACAAAGCCTTGGCCGGGTTGATTTCGTTGGGATTGGTCCTGCCTAGAGCAGGGGGCTGGACTTGATGACCTTCTGAGGTCTCTTCCAGCTCTATGGTTCTATGATTCTACATGCAATGGAAAACTCATACCTTTATTTATAAAAGCAAATGACTTAGCTTATTGGCCAAAATGCAGGATTCCACCTGCCCATCATGTACAGTCTCCTTAACTAGGTAGGTTCCCTGGGTGTAGTGGAATGTTGGTTTAGGGAGTTTAAAGAACC